TCTCCTACCCGCTGCAGCTGCTGGCTTCTCCCAACACACCTATAGGTGCTGTTGTTCCTACACCCGCGCGCAACACATTTCTCTCTCACTTAACCTTCTTTACCACCCGCAACGCCAGACCACGCGTCAAGTAGAAGCACTCGTTCATCTCATTTATCTTGAATGAAACACGGAACACAACCCGCCTCTCATGTCTTTGTGTTTCAAAGAAACGTTTACTCAAATAAGGGCTACACCGAATTTTGCTTCAAACCGTTCTTCCAGCAACAGTGTTGCCGCCCGTTTCAGCCGAGTCAACGGCGTGCGCACCACTGTCCCTTCGGGGAGATGGTCAATATTTTTTTTAGTTCTAGGTATTGGTGTACGTGAAAGTCTGTACACTGGCATGCCCGTTGCACACTGCCATATTGTCAGTTGCGCGATAACACTACACAATATTTATTCGTGTTCCAACATATGTATCGCAAATAGGTCAGTATCAAAAGTCTGTATAAGTTGACCAGTAGGAAGAGGGAGAAATGGATATCTAAGAAAAAAAAATCGGCAGCTCCAGACGGCAATTTGTGGTTCCTCCTACATTCCAATTGATATTTTTCGTAGGAAAGATGCGAGTTCTCCAAAAAACTATGTCCTTGCTTTAAGCGCATGTCGTGCAGGTACGGCAGGCGCTCGTTAGTGTCAAACAAAGACGCGTTTTTTTTTCTGCAAAAGAATATCTCATCTACATTAACTGTTTGGCTTGTTAACATGTAGCCGAGCGGCATGTTTAATGGATAATCAATCCCTTTCTTATAGCAAAAGCGGTGGACGCAAGCACTCATCGTCACCCCTACCAACCAGAGCATGTGATGCGAGATGGTTTAGGCATGGCCTCCGATATTGTGGGCGCGCGGCGGGTGTCTACGGCCCTCCCAATCGCACAGAAAGCGTGTGCTTCTAGTGGTGGGCGTGGCTTGTTTTTTTTTTGTCAGCAACACGGCGCTCTTTCTTTCGCTCAGAAAGGTTGCCGCGCTGTTGGCGAAGCTTCTAAGTGACGAGAAAAAAATTCTTTCGCGCTTCTATATCACTTTGTGTTCGGTTGGAAAATGTCGAGCCAAGGTGTATGAGAGGGGAACCTAATACTTGGCCATATATATTCTCCAATTGACATGTTTTGCTTTATCTTTGCACATCCCATATTAGAGCGCTTATAATTGCGATGCCTCAGCAAGATGTGCGCACGTGCTGGAAGTTTCCGCCATTTCCGATGGAGGCGGAAATGTTGTAGGCCCGTGTGCTCAGATTTGGGTGCACGTTAAAGAACCCCAGGTGGTCGAAATTTCCGGAGCCCTCCACTACGGCGTCTCTCATGATCATATAGTTGTTTTGAGACGTTAAACCCCACATATCAATCAATACAACATTTCCGCCTCCATCAGAAATGCAGCCGCCGCAGCCGGGATTTGAACCCTTGACCTGCGGGTCAGCAACCGAGTACCTTAGCCACTAGACCACCGCGGCGGGGCCTCCATTCACGTCCTGTACTACCAAATTTGGTATAAGTGAAGCTAGCAAAACGGCCACCAGAGCATCTTTAGCATGGCATGTAGTCATGTTATATGACACGCATCTCATGATTATCATGTTTGCATCAGTCACATACCTTCGTCATCCATTCTTGTACCTAAATACTAAATTTAGTATATTTGACGACAGCGAAACAGCCGCTAGCGCATCATGAGCTTGGCATGTAGTCATGGTACATGACACGCATGTTATGAATTTTATTTTAGGGTCTGTCGCTTGTGTTCGCCATGCAATCATTTCATATCATACCAGTTTTGCAACATATGTGAACGAAACCACCGCAAGAGCTAAAGGTTCATGAAATTGAAATCATGACATTCACCACATTCATGTCAGGATTTTCATGTTATGGGTAGTCAAAGGACCTACATAAATCTTCGCGGACGACCGATCATGGACGCAGCTTAACTTCCGACGAGAATGGGTGCGTTTCGAAAGCTTCGTGAATATCGGGTGACAGCATCGCCTCGCGCGACCATCGCCCCCCCCCCCTCCCGCGTTCCCGCAGTGTCTGAACCCTGGCTCAATGCAACGACGCTTAGCTGTCTGGCCTCACCGGCTAAGAACAGACCTGCTGGACGCCCTGGACGAGGCCGTGGTTTCTCTCCAAGGAGGATTAAAGAAAAATTCAATTTTTTAATCCTCCTTGGTTCTCCTCCGGCTCTCTTCTTCCGGACACCATTGACGACCTGGACTAACCACCCTTGGCGCCGTTCGCTTCAACGTTGTGCTTAGGAGGCTCACCAGGACAGTTCTGGAGTCTCGCCAGTTGCATCCGGCGGTGGCAACGCTCCCATGTTCTTTATGTGAACCAGTATTGATGGCCGCAGCGGAGCTTATGATGCAGCCATCACAACCAGCCTCCGCTCCGAAACGCAGTGCAAAACGCGGTGGCTGACTCACAAATGAAAACAGATTATTTGTCTGCTTCAGCCACACCGGCAACCAAGCGGGAATTCCATCTCCTGCAGCTGTTGCCTTGCCTGGCACCGAGTTTAAGTACGAAGTCCTCGTAAAACCACGTGAGTGCTTCGACGTATCAAAATTGTCAGATCACCTCCTTCAGTCAGCCTTCAACGCCTGCCTCAAAACCACGGCGTTTCAAGGATTCTCCATTCACCATCCCAACAACAGCGTATCCGTATGGGTGCGTTCACTAGCGGATGTTGACCGCCACCCAACTGCGAACTCTGCCAGTCACCGCTGATTGTACCTTGCAAGTGCAAGCGTACTTGAGTTCCTGCTCGGACCTGCGTCGGTATGTGTTCTCTGGGGTTGACCCGGGGGAATCGGGGGATGGCCTTGTCGCTGCTTCGACCTGCTCCACTCACAAGATCGTAACAGCTCATTATATGGGTCGTGGACGCACATGCCTGGTCCCTCTTCAAGGCCCTCGAACGTCACAAAGCCGCTTTACGTACTATAGATGCATCTTGCAATTGCATCTGTACAAGCCCGGTGTGGTATACTGCTATAGGTGTTTTCGGACAGGTCACATGCGAGAATCTCGTCCCGAACCCACTGATACTTCCAAGAAGTGCGCCGAGAAGCGCACGTACAAATACAGGCTCTGCCAAACGAACGATCATGATATAACGTCCAAAGATTGCCCAGTTAAACAGAAGGCTCTCGAAGCCCGTCGCCAATGCAAGCACCGCCAGCGTTCAGTTACACAAGAAGGGAAGCTGGAATTCCGACTAGCAATCGGTTTAAACTATTGTGCCATTCCTAAGAGGACACGCCATCATTGGCTGAACCTGACAACGCTTGCTATGAAGCCGCCACGTACAGCGACGCCGTCAAGTGGGGCACAAAACGAGTTCAGCAGACTGCGAACACGCCTAAATTAAGTGTTACGACGACAGACGGCCTGGCGAAGTTTGACCAACAAATAGCGCAGCTCCAAATGGAAGTCAAGCGCCTCACTCAACGCAGAACCCATCTCACTCGACCCACTGGACCAATTGCGATGCACGGTACAGACGTGCAGTACGCTGCTTCAGTGCCTGAATCATCCTCCGCAAGCGCCTCAGCACAAGTCCAGATGACTCCGGCAGAGCTCCTTCACTTTGTTGCCCGGCAACTTCAAGAGCTTTCAAAGGTGTTGCTCGCGAACCTCTTACCGCAATTACCGCTCCTTCGAAAGCAACGCGCCACCACCGTGTCCCGCAGTAGAACTGCCGGGGAAATAAAGTTGGTGAGCTTCGCTGTCGCCTTGCGCTGGGAAAGCTCCCCGCTTAGTGCCTGCTTTTACAGGAAACGAAGTCGCTTCCACGCATCCCTGGTTTCACTGCATATGCTTCCCCAACCATCGCTGATTGATGCTGCACCAATGCGTTGGGACCTCCTGGCAAGGCTGCGGCTTATGTTGTGACAACATATCCTCAAACTATCTCCTGCTGCCGTGGTGTATCCAGTGAAGAGAAGTGGTGGCAGTACTCGTTAGATTCCGCGTACTGGCGTGATTGTGGTTTCAGTTTACGTGCGCCCGTAAAGTGGCGGCGCTCCTAGACTATGTTTGGGGTGGCTTGCTCACCTGCGTGAAACCTACCCTGGGTGCCTAGTGCTGATTGGGGGAGACTTCAATGCACCTCTTCAGTCGTGGGGCTACCCTTTTTCCTGTGCTAGAGGCAACATCGTGCTAGACACATTTACAGACACGCACTTTGTCCTTCTGAATGCCCCGGTCACTTCTACACGTCAGTGGGATCATTCCTGTGCTCCACCTTATGCGCCCGATTTCTCGTGCTGGTTCGGCTTGTGTGACGTTTCGTGGGACCTAGAACCTGACTGCTGGGGGAGTGATCACCGTCCGTTGATAATCGGTTTGGCCGCGCATAAGCAATGCCGTCTCTGACGTCGATGCCACAAAACCAACTAGGACCTATTTCGCAACGAACTCAACGCCTCGATGGCTGATACATCGTCTGATCCATTGGAGGTGTTATCAAGAGCTGTACAAGCCACCACACAGTCAAGCTGGGTAAAGGAGAACAGACCACATTCAAATTGACATCTTTTGCGTCTGTGGGCAGCACGCCGTCGCGCAGAGCTAGCCTTAAACCGAGATCCGACAGCCGCTGAGCTTTGTGTTAACCTCAACAGACTCACCGCTGCAGCACGCCACTGCGAGAAGCGTCTCACTCGAGAACGGTGGGTTGACTGGTGTGCGTCACTCGGTCCATCGTCTTAACCACCTCAATATGGCGAACGTTCCAGAGCATAGAATTAGGAACCCGTATGCCAGACCCAGTGGCCAGTGCGTGTCTGTAATCTGGACGCACGCCAAGCCGGTTTGCTCCAGAAATAGCTAAGCTTTTTTCCCAACCTACAACTTGGCCCCACCACTATTCGACTGTCTTTGTAACCTGCCTCCGGAGGTTGGCGCGACTCCAAGTCCGTCAGACATCAAAGGCATGCAAGCGCCGTACACGATGGTGGAGCTCCAGGCAGCAATTGACCAGGTAAAACGCAAGGTACCAGGACCAGGTGGGATCTCCTATGAACTGTTCAATAACGTGGATGTCCCTGTACTGCAGTGGCTGCTGAACATGCCTAACGCCATCTGGACGACCGGAGAGCTGCCTGAATTGTTGAAGCATGCCGAAGTTGTGATGATACCGAAGCCGGGAAAGCACCTGAGCAACCTCTTTATTCTTCGTCTGATTGCTCTTACGTGTACCTTGTGCAAGCTTCTTGAACGCATGTTGGTGTCGCGCATCTCCTGGTGGCTGGAAAAGCACGCATGCTACCACCCGGCCCAGATTCGACTTCAACCGCATTTGGGCACAGAAGATGGCCTAGATTATTTGACGTCCATGGTGCTTGTTGGAAGAAGATCAAGCAGCATTTGAACCCTTCTCGCAATGTACGTTCACAAGCCCTACGACAATGTCAGCCACTGTGCGATCATTCACATAATGCAATGGCTTCCAACTTGCACCTCGCAGACCACGAAATTGCGTGGCAGAATGCATCGACGCGCCAGCTAGCGACGAGATACGATGAGACACCTGCTGCGGGGCGCATGCGCGTCCTGTCTTACAACTTGGATTCTCATGTCGTTCTCTTGGACGCGGTTGCGGCACACTTAGCCAAAATGACAACTGGGTGTCGCTTTTTTTGCTCCATGGAATCTTTGCCGATCTTCAACGTAGTGGCTGATACGGGTCTGGTTAAGAGAAAGGTTTTTCTAAAGTGTGCAGCATGACACCGATGAGGGATGGTTAGCACATATCATTTCATTATGCATGCGTGTACAACAGTCTAGTTCACTGCTACCATATGTGCCTTCCAATGCGCTGTCACACAGCTATAGGTAGAAGCTTTTTTATGATGTAACATAGACGAGATGTGTCGTCACTGGTAGGAAGGTGGGCTTCGTGTCGATCACAGTAAAAGAACATGAACACTCTGTAGACCTCCAGTCGCGCCTAAAGCAAGCTTTACAGTGTTGTAACCAATGTCTGCCTTGAATGTCATGCATATACGAATAATTTGCTCCATTGCTCATTGGGATTCAGGGCTTGGTGGAATACTGTAGGTCCATATTAGCTTTCTCCATCTGTTGGGACCAAGGATGACATGAATGATGCAGCCAGCAGCTACAAAAGCAGGAGCAACAGTGCGTGACCTAGAAACGTCTTGAGTAAGAATATATTCCACCCAACGCTGAACCACGCAATCAATTCAAGCCTACAAGTTTGTCTTTTCCCAGGCAGCAGTATAGTCAATGGCACAATATGATCCTCAGAAACGTTGCTGAATCAAGTGAATGGGCCTGCAAACATATCCAGCAATGTCACATTGTGATTGAATCTTGAAGTTCTGCAAAGCATTCGATACAGGTGGTACGTAAACCCACGTGATGCCATACACCTTACGTTATCTTCCAGAAGAAGCCGTTGGATTTCCCGCCTATTTGGGCATGAAAGACAGTCTAGTAGTATGCCTAATTGTGCTTACAAGTGGGCATAAGTGGTTAGTTTTTGTTCACAGCATGTGTTGAAGCTAATACGTCTTCTGCTACTGGCAAACAACTTTGCACCACTGAAAGTCTAGCAGCGTCGAAGCTTATATTTCTAGCGGATGGCAGAATTTGTTATGTCAACCAGTCGCCACTTTTTTAAGGTGTATATTTCTCTGGGTCAGGTGAACATGTTGTTTGGGCTATGTGACAAGGCATCAATGACAATGTTGACAGCTCCTATATTATGTTTCGGATATAATTGACATCTGCTGCAGTTAGTGGGAAAATCAATGCAACGGTTGTAACTGAGGAAGTATAACATGTACCGATAAGACATGTACTCGCGTATTCTATGACAAAGAAATCACGTGATTTCTTCCATGTAATAATGTAATGACATAAGTACTTACCATTTATGCCTTCTTGTAAGCACAATTAAGTATATCACAATTAGAAAGTCTTTCACATACACCCAAGTACACGGGAAATCAAAAGACTCTCCCAGACAAATAACATAAGGTGTAGTATAGCATCACGTGGGCGAACGTTCTACCTGAGTAGATTGTTTTCCGGCACTTCAAGCTTCAGTGGTATTGTCACGTTGCCGGATATTTTTACAGGGCCAACCACATGATACAGTGACATTTTTGAGGATCTATTAGCTTCAGTCTCCACAAAAAAAGGCTGTGATGCTGCTCAAATAATGGCCTTAAGTTTTCAGGAAATGTCGGGGAACTGATTGGCCGTCATATGAACTTCTTTGACGAGTCGGTGATCTAGCACAAATTGCATTCAAGATGTTTTACGACGATGTATAGTGGAACTCTCATTTGATATTCAGGGAGTAGCATATACTGTCGCGCAAGCATCTGTTGATCCCCTAAAGTTTCTATGGGAGTTTTTGGTCTAAGGGATCTCAATATAGTAGCCTTTCTGTGTATAAATAGCACAAAGTGGAGGGAATTTACAAGCGAGATGGTTATAATACCTTCTTTCTTAACCGAACAAAGAAAAAAGGCGGTGGCCTCATGGTTCTAGTGAAAAACTGTATAGACGCTCAAATAATACCACAATTTTCTTACGTCAGTGCTGACATCGAGTGCTTAACTTTGATTAAACGTAATTACGTATATGCTGTCATGTACAGACCAGCCGATTCATCTGTGAACAGATTAATTAGTAGCCTTGAAGAACTATTAAATTATCTAAATGACAACAATTTAAAACTTAATCTTGGCGGTGACCTTAATATTAACATAGTGGAGTCGTGTGCTGCCGCCATTACATTTGTGTCTACGGTCGAGTCGAGTGGCTACGACATAGTAACGAAAACTCCCACACGTATCACACCTACCTCAGAAACGTTAATCGATCTATTTATCACTAACGTAAACAAAGATAACGTAGAGAATGGTGTAATATGTTGTGACATCAGCGACCACTTTGCACTCTACTTTGTAGTTTTATGGTGCAACAACAATGATCTAACGATAAACCCCTCTAAAACTAAGTTCATGGTTTTCAGGTCTGCTCATAAACATTTGTTAACTTCTGCTGCTATAACTATGGGTCCTAATACTATCCATGCTTGTGATACTGTTTCTTTTCTCGGTGTACGTTTAGACATAACCCTTAATTTTGGTCTACACTTATTAGACATAAAGAAAAAGACTGCTTTTGGTATTCGTGCATTGATTAAAGCTAGGCCATATTTTTCCACTAATGCATTACTATCGCTCTACTTCTCATTTATTCATAGTCATTTTAACTATGGCATAATTACCTGGGCCAACACCTATCACTCGTACATCTCATCTGTACAACATATACAGAACCAAGCAATCCGCATTATCACTTTCAGCCCTCGTCGTTCGAACGCTATTTCTTTGCTTAGACAATACAATATTCTGAGTATTAGTAGGTTATTTGAATTTCATTGTACTTGTTTGTTCTTTAATATAATTCACCGTCGGCTACCCTTCGACCTCATCAACTGTGACTTATTGATAAACACTAACCGCACTCGCTTCGCATTGGAGCGAAATTTATTACTACCCCGAGTTTGCACTAATTACGGCATAAAGTCTTTGTCATTCACAGCTATTTCATTATGGAACTCTATTCCACCAAATATAAAGTCTCTATCCAACTTGTATACATTCAAAAAAACTTTGAAATTATATCTTCTATCACTATAAATTATTCTATGTTGTCCTTTTTGCATTTTGACTTAGCGATTGTATTTGTTGAAGTTGTGATTATTACTATGTTTTATCGCTTCGTTATTTTTCTATAGTTGCTTTATAGCATTGTTTTGTTAATATTACATTGTCTTGCCATTTGCCCTTGCACTTGTTTACATGCTTTCTTCATCGTGGGTCCCCCTACAGTCTTCGGACTATGGGACCCTAGTCTGTAAAACGTCTTCTTCATTTTATGTATCGCCAGTCTGTTAATAATAATAAACTTCAAACTTCAAACTTCAAACTTGTTATGGAGAGTGCAATCAAGAAGTCCCAAACACTGCCCACTAGAACAGTTCAAAATATCACACCTCACACTTTAACAGCATTCAGCACAAGCCTTTCCCAAACAGACTGGAGTGCGGTATACCACTCAGAAACTGCAGAATTAGCCTATGAAACATTCTTGATTATATTTAAAAAGTTTATTTTAGACACTTTAAAGAAAAAGTTATACAGAAATGCCGTAGAAGTCGCAAACCATGGATCAATCGTGAGTGTTTAAGAATGATCGAAAAGAAATCAAAGTTATTCAGAAGGTTTTTAAAAACTAAGGATGCGTCAGACTTAACCACATTTAAAGAATACCGCAATAAGGTGAACGCCTTTATCAAGAAAGAAAAAAGAAATTACTTAAATCAACAATTTCATGCAGACAACTGCAAAGGGAGTGCAGAACTGTGGAGGAAACTTAACGCTTTGCTTCACAGGACACCGATCTCTCCTGGGGTTACTGAAATAAATATAGATGGTCGAGCGGTTACAGATTTAGAACTCGCAGAAAGATTTAATCATTTTCTCACAAACGTTGCACAGCCGACGCAAACAGCACAGACAGCTATAACTGACGCAATGACAAGACAGACAAAGAACATCTTTCGTCGACCAACCGATGAACAAGAAATGGTTTCAATTTTTTCCACGCTAAAACAGAGCAGCGCTCGTGACATAGATGGAATTCAGATTTCCCCGATCAAACATGCAATCGATATCATAGCTCCCGTGCTCTCTCACATTTATAACTTGTCCCTATCAACAGGTTGTTTCCCAAAACATATGTAAACGTCCGTTGTCAGCGTGTTGTATTAGAAAGGAGACAAGAATGATCTTACGAACTATCGGCCAATTTCTATATTACCCATATTTTCAAAAGGCTTGGAGAAAATTATTTTTAAAAGACTTATGAATTTTTGTATGAAGTTTAACATAATATCCCAATCTCAACATGGTTTTATGAAGGGCAGGTTGACGGAGACTGCTTTACTAGCTCAGAAAGAAATAATCCTTAAATCGTTTGAGAGTAAAGAACTTTGCATTGGTGTTTTCATAGATTTTTCTAAGGCTTTCGACCGTCTCTGTCATCATACTTTATTTGAAAAGTTAGAAATATATGGTGTTCGCGGCATTCCACTTTCCCTCTTGAAATCTTACTTCAAGTACCGCTCACAATGTGTAAAAATTAAGGATTCACTTTATACTCTCCAGGCAATAACCACAGGGGTTCCGCAAGGTAGCATTCTAGGACCGCTGCTTTTTAACCTATACATAAATGACATTGTCAAGGTCAGTGACAAAGCTAAATACATAATATACGCGGATGACACCAGCATTTTCTTTACAGGTAACGACATGACTGCCATGA